TCACATACTTAAACTTCATAGTAAACTATTTACTCCAGATTTTAATATATGATATTTTGGTTTAAAATACAAAATTTTAAAAAAAAAATTGTTTCAAATAGAATTATTTAGTATATAAAATACAAACAATTCAACCAATTAAGAAAAGGATTGCATAATACTATCGGTTACACAATACTCAATAAAAGTAAAAATTACATAAAAATCTGAAAACATCTTATATTATAAAACAAAAAAATCCAAAAAACGGAAGGAATAGTAATAATTCATATAGAGATAACTGACTGTTACATAATTTTTTTTCTAGGAGATCTTAGAGCATGTCTATCCCTATATACTCATCTCTCTTTTTTTAACACTTTGTTTTATTGAAACTGATTTAAAACATATTGCATCATAAAAGAAGCTGAACGGATGAAATACAAAAAGAAACTCATAGTCTTTTCCGTACCGGAAATTTAGTGAAGACAAACATCTTTAATGACACATTAGCAATACCAAGACATTCTTGTTTCGAATCCAAATTAAACAATTAGGTGTTTCCGTATCCACAATGGCAGTCAGACTTCTAATACCTTTTACCATAAGACGGCAATAATTCTCTTTTTTAGATAACTCTCCTTCTTAGATTGCCTTCGTCAATTTTGTTGTGACATAGCTTTGGTGAAGCTACCATTAAACAAATTTGAACTGCATAACTTAAATCTCTTGATAAACAGAAATAAAGAGTTGAACCACATCGACCTCGATACTGAAAGTAGAAAAAACTGGCAAGAGAACGAAACCAATGAGATAACCTAAAAATCGACCATAACCGATTGGAGATGTAGCCGCAACCATCGTCCGAAAGGACAGCTGCAACCACTCGAGGAGATCCAGCAACATGTACGAAACTGGATCTGACAAATAGAAAGAAGAAGCGTTTTGTCATTGATGCAAATCCGTCGACCCCTAGGTACCGGCGCTCGCACTTTTGTTTGACCTACCACCCTTGAGATTAAAGAGAAAAGTCCTCCTCTTTTCGAAACTTCCAACAACAACCCAAAACGATAGGCGTAATTCAGAAAGATAAAATTGAAGAAAACTAAGAGAATCGAGAGCAAACAACCGGGGGAGACCGACAACCGGCGCTAGATGAGTCGCGGGTCATCGGTCTACACCTAAAATAACGGTGACTGTATCTCAAAGGAGAGAGACAAAATATGTGCAAAGGGATAACTTGAACTTGTGTTGGGGAAGTCAAACCACAAGATTTTAACCATTTGAGCACTTGAAAGTTTACAAAATATATCCCTAAATACTCTTCTAAGAGCATCTTTAGACTATTCCCAATGCAAAGTTCTAAAGGAGTCTTTTAACATTAAAAAATTTCAAAAAAAAAACTAATGAAGAGAGAAAACGAGATACGTCTCTAGTTTTGAGAAACTCTCGTAAACTTTTGAGATACTCCTTTGGCATTTGTACACTTCTTATTGATTTAACTTTTTGTTTTAAATTAAATAATTTAGTTATAATAAATTTGTTAATATTATACTATGTGTGAGATACTTGGGTGAAATTCTTTACCGTTGGATGTGCCATTTAGAGAATCCCCAATGTTGGGTTTCTAACATGAGTTTTTAAATTTGACCAAATAAAATTAATAATATTTTAATAAATGGATATCTCAAATAGTGGAAAATTCATCTAAAAGTTTTTTCATCAATAACCTCATGAGTGGGTTTTTCCACTATTTGAGATATCCACTTATTAAAATATTATTAAAAAAAGTTGGTCAAACTTAGAACCTCATGTTATAAACCAACTATTGAAGATGTTCTACCCATATTAAAATAATAATAAAAATATGAAAAATTTGAAGAGAGAGATTCATGGTCAAAACTTCTAAAATGAGAGATCTATGAGAGACTCAAAATACTAATGTCTCTATTTTATTGGTTCAATTGTATTTGTCTAACATAAAATTTATATATAACTAACAATATTATATTAGTGAGAAACTTGTAA